TCTCCTCTCTTTCCCTTTCTGGACCTAGGTGAATGACTAGGGGGGAAGGGAGAGGAGGGCACTTATAATGTCCATTGTTGTCAGAGATGGCCCCATTGGAGGGGCAGTACTTAAAGATAAAAAGGAGGCCCGGATTTTTCTAGGAGAAAGTACTAAGCTAACTGAGAAATTAATACTGGTTCCTCCCCTCTCTCCCATCAACAAAGAAACTATCAAAAGAGGAAATAAAAACAAAAATAATTTGCTAATAAAAATGGAAGTTGATTGAAAAAAAAATTCCACACTAGAACTACCACTGCAAATGGGCATGAAGTAGGGAACCTGCAGTCTGTCAGGACAGCAGAAAGCCTGTGAACCAGCAGACAATTTAGTGGATCTGGTGAATGGGAAGTGTCCGGCATCCTTCCTGTCTTCAATGCTGAGCATGAAGAGGAGCAGGGACGCATGTTGTATGGGTACAGAAAGGCAAAAAGTCTCGAGCTCAAGCACTTAAGGCATGTGTGTACTCACACAGAATGAAATGTTCTTAGGAGAGCCCATAATATTTTTTGTAAAAGCAAGAGTTTAAAAATGTTAATATTAATGCCCTGGCCAAATTCCAATCGATTAATATCTTTTCATCTGCCTTGGTTACACTCATAGTTTCACTCAGAGAAGCTGAAGTGCTCTGGTTAACATCACACTGGCAATTGTGTGCCATCACAGGATGAAGTGATCTGTTGTGCAACTTGTACACCAGATACAGATCTTATGTAAAGGGCCTTAAGGATCAATTAGGATGAAAGATATTATACAAATATGTTTTTTATTTAGTAATGTCTCCCCTCCCTCCACTTAGTACAATGATGTCTTGTCTGGTCCTTCTAACAGATCAGTACATCTAAAGTGTGATTCAAGGTTTCAAACAACTTTGTTGGGAGCAGTCCAGTCATTACTGAATTAGGCATTACAATACTGCCCCTTCATTGAATTCAGTCACCTAGCATCAGCATTCAGGTACCCAGCAGAGGGAACCAAAAGGGGTGAAGACTTGCTTATATCAAAACTGTTGACAAAAACACAATGGTCGGGAGCCCTTCTAACATTCCTTCCCATCTATTAATCAGCATGCATAAATTCTCTTTTCAGATCTGCAAAGCTTTCAATGACCACACCACTGGGAGCCTCACTAAAAGGAAAAGTTTTTAAAAAATAAAGCCATAAATGATGTTTAGTGCACATCTTTTCCTTACCTTCTCAAGTTCCTGCAAATACACTTGTGCAATAATGCACGCTGTCTCAAAACAAGAGATGACTTCCTCTTCTCTTTCACACAGGCGAGCCTGGGAGGCAATGGAATTGGGTGTACGCTCTAGCGACAGACCTGCAAGGTAGAAACACCTTCTTAAACACAGACTCACTAATATTAAAGTTACTATACTCCATTTTCACAGTGCACATATTTATCAGCCAAAAGGAAATATTTGAGTATACATTTTTTTTCTTTGCTTGAAATATTTTGTGGAAACAGTTGTACAATAAACACTATAAACATAAATAGGGTGACCAAACATCCTGGTTTGGCTGGGATAGTCCTGGATTTCACAGGCTGGTCCCAGCTGGTTAGTGAAAATTAAAATGAGCATTCTGGGTGCATGGCACAGTCTGGCAGGGAAGTGGAGCAATGCAGTGCACCAGGAAGGCTTCTGCCCACCTGTCTGGCACACCATGCCACTCCACCTCCATCGGTGCTGCTGACTTGCGGGAGAGGGGGTGAGGCACAGAGGAGGGGGCAGCATCCCAGATTTCCTTATGGTCACCCGACACAAAATGCACTGACTGGCTCATAGCCATTTCTTATAAGAGTAGTATCATACACCCCTACAGCACCTTTCCACTCCCCAAACACCATTGTGAGTAAGGAAGATATTAGTCTTACAGGACACATGGGTAAGCTGTGGTATAAAAAATTAAGGCTACATTTCCAAGATGGCAACAAATTTTGGGTGCCTTTGCTTTTGGGTTCCTCCTAGGCATGCACTGATAGAGATTTTTCACGCCAATCCCAATATCCGATTTTTAAGGAAGCATATTGACCGATGCCAATCCGATTTCTGATATAGCACGGAGAGGTGCCTTCAGCTGGTAAGTCCGTTGTGGTGGAAGGGAAGGGGGGCAGATCAACCCCTCCCCACACAATGAGGGAGAGGGCAGGGACACAGGATGGAAGCGCAGCTCATCGGGGAGGGGGGTGGCTCCCACTGCTGCTTGCACCCTGGCAGCATGGGCATGTGCCCCCCAGATCTGCATGAGGCGAGTGGGTGGGTTGCAGCTGTAGGCTGGAACTGGGCTCTTCTCAGCAGGGGCTGGGCTCAGGGCGGGGCCTATGGAAGGGGCGGTAGCCACCCTAAATTTCATCGTAGCCCTGCTCCCAGCGCCACCACTGCTGCAGTCCCAGCGTTTAGGGGGATGCGGGGGTTGAGCCAGGGCTGTGCCAGGCAGCCAGGTGGTGGCAGCGGCACTGGGAGGGAGCTACAGCAAAAACTGGGGTGGCTACAGTCCCCACTCCATAGCCCCTGCTCCAAGCCCAGCCCCCAGTGAGAAGAGCCCAGCGCAGCCCACAGCTGCAGCCCACCCACTCGCCCCACGCAGATCCAAGGGCATGCACCCCTGCCGTGCCCTCCCAGGGTGTAAGCAGCAGCCCCCCACCCCCAACAACAAGCCGCACCTCTGTCCCACCCCATCAAGCAGCACCTGCCCCTTCCCCCTCCCTCACCACGGGTGGGGGGGTGAGGGGGTTGATCTGCCCCCTCACGCCCCTTCCCTCCCTCCTCCCCTTCCACCACAATGGACTTACCAGCTGGAGGCAGCTCTACATGCTGCCGGGCCGTGCTCCTTGATGCCTGAGTGCTGCGCTGTGGTTGTGCGCATGCACAAGCATTTAGCAGCCAAATTATTGTCCCCATCAGGCCGATTTCTCATACAGCCAATTTTCTTTATCTTGGTACCAATCCGATATCAAACCGATGTTTCGGTGCACCTCTAGTTCCTCTCCTGTGATCCTTTGGAAATGAGTGTCAGAATTGTTATTCCTCCATTAACAACAATGGAAGTTGTTGGGAACAATAGACACAACACAGCTCTAAAAGAGAGGCCTGAAGAGGACACTCAAATGCACAGAAAAGTCAGAAGTCACTTTTGAAAAGGAGGTGCACAAGTGACTGATATAAGGTCATATGATACTTTTTATCAGAGCCAGCAAGAGAACTCAAATCTTCCACTTTGAAGGCTAATGCTTTAATTTGGGGGTGTCAAAGGCTGTCCCACAGTGCTGCCTGAGGGTCTTGGACTCTACTTGCACACCAATGCACAGGACTAGTTTGATGCACATGCTTCATGCAACACCCAGGCCAGAACAAGCCCACAGACTGGTCTTGCGCTACTCATTCAGCAGGGAGGGCCTGATGAGTTTGATACCTCTGCTTTAACCTAAAGATTGTTCTCCCTGCCAAAGAGAAGGATTTTTGTGTATCGTGTATTTAAATCCTTTCTTGCACTATCCAGCCCTGTGACGAACAAAGAATGCATTAACCAAGGCCAGCTGCCATTCTTCCTACATGAATGCCCTTTATCACCAGACCCTTAACTGGCTTCATATCCTTTGCTCCCCTCCAACACACACCGATTCTAGTCTCTTCTATGTGTGTTCTTATACTACATTCAGCCCTAGAGTCCCTATGTACATGGATATATACTGGACAACAGCAACTAGCACCAGTACAACCAAGCAGATGCAGTGGAGTCATAACTGACTCCGAGATGAACATGAGCCGGCAGTGTAACAAGGCCATCAACAAGGCCAATCGCACCTTGTCGTGCATTAGCAGGTGCATGACTAATAGAACAAAGGAGGTGATGCTCCCCCTCTATGCAGCACTGGTCAGGCCGCAGTTGGAGTACTGTGTTCAGTTTTGGGCGCCGCACTTCAAGAGGGATGCGGGGAATCTAGAGAGAGTCCAGAGGAGGGCCACTCGCATGATTAGTGGCCTTCATGATAGACCCTACGGGGGGAGGTTGAGAGAGCTGAATCTCTTCAGCCTTCACAAGAGACGGCTGAGGGGAGATCTTGTGGCCGCCTATAAATTTATTAGGGGAGGTCAACAGGGAATAGGGGAAGAGCTGTTTACTAAGGCGCCCCAGGGAGTGACTAGGAATAATGGGTGTAAACTAGTTGAGAGTGGATTTAGGTTAGATATTAGGAAGACATTTTTCACAGTAAGGGTGGCCAGAATCTGGAATGGGCTTCCAAGAGAGGTGGTGCTATCACCTAGCTTAGAGGTCTTCAAGAGGAGGCTAGTCACCTGGCTGGGGTCATCTGACCTCGGTCCTCTTTCCTGCCAGGGGCAGGGGGTCGAACACGATGATCCATTGAGGTCCCTTCCGACTCTACAATCTATGAATCTATGGTACAGTGCAAACATATCTGCAGTGCAAACATATCTTTTGAGGACACACAGTAGCCTACTCCACACTTCCCATGGAGCAGCAAAACGGAGAGGCGTAACAGAGTAGCTGGGTATCTGGAACAGCAGTGACATAGTGGGGCAGTCGCATGGTTGAAACATCAGTTATTATTTTGGTGCCCTGACTTAAGTTGGCACCCAGGGCTCCTGCCCCAGTTACCCCACCTTAGTTATGCTACTGTGAAAGGCCTACAGATTGTTGCTCAAATCCCACCATTTCTGGCACACACCAAGGATAGAGTACCAGATGCCACTGGTAGTACTTTGGCCATGTGGACAAATCAAAAAATATGGACAGGCTTCTCCTAATTAATGCTTCAACTGATTCTGTCCTCCACAGAGCAAGAGCAGAGATACACTCCAATATTTTAAATATGCTGTGATTTTTGCCTCCTGGCTGATCAGCAGTGAGCAGCAGGGTCACCAGAGCCCCTCAATCAGCAACAGGAGGCAAAAACCACAGCATATTTAAAATAATGGTTTTTGCCTCCCAGGTAATCAGGGGTCAGTGGTAGGGCCACTAGGGCTGCTCCATCGATCAGTGGCTAGGGGGAGGGGGCACAGGTATGACAAAAAGAGCAAGGTTAAAGGAGCTACTGAACAGCGTACTTCCACCACGATTTAGGTAGGTCCCTACTGACAATGTCAGGTCCTGCTTTTGGCTTAGAAATGATATTTAAAGGACACAGTCTGAAAAACAGTCTGGGAACTTGGAATACATATTCTACACTGCCCATAACATAAGATAGTGATACCCGCCCCAGAGCAGGGGGCCCCCGAGTCCTGGTTTTGGGGGAACAGATCAAATTAGTATGCATACATGTGATAAGCTACATGGACTATGATGACCAGAGAGAGACAACCAACCAGCAATAGTCATGGATCAAGTGTTATCAGGAGGGAAGGAGAATACAAAAGCAGAGACTTGAGAGTAACAAAGGGTCCCACCTCCTCCCCATTCCTTCCCATCCCTGTTCCCCAGGAAGGGTCCCTGAGGCCACCATGGACAGAGGACACTCCACCAGTTCATCTCATCCAACCCACTGGCGGGGGGTGTGGGCCTCAGTATCCTACCTCCAGACTGCTGGCATGCTGAACAAAAAGAGCAAGGTTAAAGGAGCTACTGAACAGCGTACTTCCACCACGATTTAGGTAGGTCCCTACTGACAATGTCAGGTCCTGCTTTTGGCTTAGAAATGATATTTAAAGGACACAGTCTGAAAAACAGTCTGGGAACTTGGAATACATATTCTACACTGCCCATAACATAAGATAGTGATACCCGCCCCAGAGCAGGGGGCCCCCGAGTCCTGGTTTTGGGGGAACAGATCAAATTAGTATGCATACATGTGATAAGCTACATGGACTATGATGACCAGAGAGAGACAACCAACCAGCAATAGTCATGGATCAAGTGTTATCAGGAGGGAAGGAGAATACAAAAGCAGAGACTTGAGAGTAACAAAGGGTCCCACCTCCTCCCCATTCCTTCCCATCCCTGTTCCCCAGGAAGGGTCCCTGAGGCCACCATGGACAGAGGACACTCCACCAGTTCATCTCATCCAACCCACTGGCGGGGGGTGTGGGCCTCAGTATCCTACCTCCAGACTGCTGGCATGCTGACATCTGACACCTAAGAAAGAGCCTCAGAGTGGAGACTGTCCTGGCCAGATGTACTTTGATTCTGATGACAGCTCTAGAATTTGGTATATATATAGAATTGCTTGATTGTTTGTATTGCTTCTTTCTTGTTATCACTTTGTATCAATAAATTTGCCTATTATCGAATGGAGAGGTCGTGGTCGGTCCGGGGGTAGGTGGGGGGTGGACCTCTCGGTCTTAAATCCAGAACCAACACTGC